GAGCCACCGAGCCCGGCCAGGCACCCTTCTAAAGAGGACTTTATGGATATTAACTCACTCCTTCATTTTACCAATGAGAAAACTGAGGCACAGAGAAGTGACTTGTCCAGAGCCTTGTGCCTGAAGTGCCAGGATTTGAACTTGTGCCATGAATCATGCCTCAGTGGTGGATTATTTTAGTGGCAGGTGGGAAGGTAGGTTCTGCCTTTAGTCTGTAGGGAGTTGGCCCGTGGTGTTCCCCAGTGAGCTTGGAATGCACACATAAGATGTGGGCTGCAAAAGGGGTTACCCACGGGGACGGCCTCCACCCTTTTAATGGCAGGCCCACTGCCCAGCTGATCTCAGTGTCCCTCCCTGGTTGAGTCTTTTCCTGGAGTTACTGTGGGCCCGGAAAGTGGGTGAAGGAAGTCCGTGCCCAGCATGAGAGGCCAGGAATTCAGGACCTCAGCTCCTCACCACCTTCCAGGAATGAGAGCAAGCTCTTCCCTTGAGGCCTCTCCAGGTCCCAGGTAAAGCCCACCACCTGAGTGGATGGGTTCTATCTGTAGCCCCTTTGAGAGAAAAAAAAGGACTGTGGGATCCGTGATAAGGAGAAAGGCCTGGTGTGAAGTGAGACCTTGGTACTGACCTATCTCTGTCCCCACTGGAGGGGACTTAGGGAGCGACTTCCTGGGAATTTCTATCTTTTCCCATCTGCAAAATGACATGGCTAGATTCTGGCAATTTTCAAAATGGGAGGACAAGGCTGAAGAAACAGACCTCTGGGTGCCCCAACCCCAACACCTTCTTTCAATAAAGCCCCACTTTTGTTATTTATTTTTGAGTCAGTCTCACTCTGTTACCCAGGCTGGAGTGCAGTGACACGCTCACAGCCACCGCAGCCTTGATCTGCTGGGCTCAGGAGATCCCTCTGCCTCAGCTTTCCAGGTAGCTAGTTGAGGCCACAGTGGCCATAAGCATGCTACTGCACTTCAGCCTGGGCAACGAAGTGAGACTCTGAGTCAAAAAAAAAAAAAAGTCTGGGTAAAAAGATCACATAGTAGAATGAGCCCGAGAGGCTTTCAGGACCAGACAGTCATCTAAGACTGAACCCCCAACTCAAGACAGCCCTGATCTCAACCAGGACCACAATCTTCCCTCTCTCACCACCAGCAGATTGGAGGACTGGCATGTTTGACATTGGTCAGGGTAAAAAACTAGAATGACTCAGGTCCACAGGCAGTGATGAGACTAAATAAATGATAACACACCTAAACTGGATGTGTTGGGGACAATAAGGCACTCCATATGTTTTGTTGTGAAAAGGTATAATGCAGGCCGGGCACAGTGGCTCATGTCTGTGATCCTAGCACCTGGGGAGGCTAAGGCGGGAGGACTGCTTAAGCCCAGGAGTTGGGAGATTAGCCTGGGCAACATAGCAAGACCTTGTCTCTATGAAGAAAAAAAAAATTAGCCGGGCATCATAGCATGCACCTGTAGTCCCAGCTACTTGGGAGGCTGAGGCAGAAGGATTGCATGAGCCCAGGAGGTCAAGGCTCTGGTGAACTGGGATCATGCCACCCTACTCCAGCCTGGATGACAGAGTAAGACTGACTCAAAAAAAGAAGGTATAATGCAAAATGTGTATAACGCATAGGGGAAAAAACACCGAAAGAAGACATACCACACGGTTGAAGTATAATAGTGAAGCACCGTCAGGTCCAACATTCAGAGGGTCCTCATGAGTGTAGCCGGCCATTTCAGCTGTTTGTGGCTAGTGCCCACCAAGTGGTTAGGCTGGTGACTTATTGCAAACATCTGACTTATTATAGGATCTGAAAATCAGAGATCTAAGTTCCAGTTTGCAGACGAGAAGTAGGCCCAGAGAGTGACTTACCGTCGCCCCCATCACAGCGTCCCGGCCCATTCCTTCCAAACCACTCGACTGGTGACTGGTTCCAATGCCAAGGGAATCGAGATCCAGTCACAGAGGCCACGTTAGGCCAGAAAAGGCTGCCTTTCCTCCGAAAATCTCAGGGGAGGAAGGCCAGCCTGAACAGAGGCTGTTTGGTTTTATTATTAGCCTCAGCGGAAGATAGTGTTTCGCAGTTTATTCAGGCTTCTCAGAAGATAAGGGCAGCAGGTGTTTGCTGGCCGAGACACCTAATCTCCCACATCCCATATCAGCAAGAGCAGCAGGGCCCTGGCAAAGGGAACTCGAGGCTGCAGCTCAGTGGGAGAGGCAGGAGGCGGCTCCAGCTCATCTTTAGTGCTATGGACCAAAGATGGTGAAGTTTCTCACCCTACTTAATTCCCTTTTGATCTCCCTATCCAGCGTCTGAAGCTTCAAGACATCTTAGCCTTATCCTTCACAGCCTTGGCAGCAATCTTGCCAAGAATCACCTGGAGGGCCTGGTACATCCATTGCAGGGCCGGAAGAGGCTTGATTCAGCTGCTGCTGGTTGGGTCTGCACTGTGAGCACCAGGGCTTCACAGAATCAGTCACTTTGGGAAGGGAACATTTATGTCAACTTCAGCAGTTGCTTCTGCTTCACTTTAGATTCTTTTCTTTTGGTTAATTGCAAAGGAAATGGTGAACTTCACGACAAAGGCACAGACAGAATCGCTCTCTTGCTGCAGCCTCCTGCTCCTTATTCCCACATCTGTGCCCTGGTATTGTCAAGAACATCCCAATTTCACTGACATCCTGGGGAAGCTGCTCTAATTTTGTCTTGCTTGATTTTGATAATGACCAGGTGTCATTTTTAAAATGTGGCCATTCAAGGAAAATCCCCTGACTATAGCTGTAAGGCTTTAAAGGAAATTATTGGGCTGGGTGTGGTGGGTCACACCTGTAATCCCAGCACGTTGAGAGGCTGAGGCGAGAGGATTATCTGAGTCCAGGGGTTCAAGACCAGCCTGGGGAACTTGATGAGACCTCGTCTCTACAATAAATCAAAAAATTAAGCCGGGCTCGGTGGCTCAGTCTGTAATCCCGCGCCTTTGGGAGGCTGAGGTGAGTGGATTGCCTGAGCCCGTGGGTTCGAGACCCGCCTGGGCA